TTTTCAGATATATCTCCATCTTTGCAGTTTAATTTAATTGTCACAGCGTCTCCAAACCAACTAGGAAAATTGTTTTTGCAAATACACCATCTTATTCACTTCTAGCTTATAGAAATATATATGATATTCAAACTATAATTATCAATAATTACAACATGAAAGATCATGAATCGACATAAAAAAAGAGAGAGGAAATCATATCCGGACCCCTACAATTAAATAATAAGAATGTTTTTTTCTCAAAATTTATTTTTGTAATTGAAACTCTCCAGGTTTTTTTTTTGTATTTATCTTTTTTATATATTGTAAGTATTGTTATTTAAATGTTAATCATCTTAGAATATCTTCTATTTACATTCATTCAGTTGTGTAAAATGCCACTTCACCCTTGGAGGCATACGAATTGATCAAGTAGCTTTATCATTAAGAGCATTATATATATATATAAGATTTCATAACCGTACTTTCTACTATTAATCTTTGAGAAGACGCACAAAGGTTACTAACAATAATAATATCATTGAAGTATTCATGAAAAATTAATTTAAACTCCATAAATACTGATATAACTTGAATGAGAAGATGTTTTTGAACCCAATAGATGAAGTATAAATATTATTAAACTCAACCTAAAACTCTCAAAAAACCCAACTTAAAATATATAATTATATTATATAAATATATTTGTAGAATATTTTTTTAATATAATATGATATATACATATCTTAATATTAACATAAAACACACATTTATAAATAATATTTATCATTTTATCATTTAATATACATATAAATACTTCAAATTAATAAAGTTTAGTTAGTGTTGTATCTCTTATTTTTTTTTATTTAACCAGGATTCTTTATATTGAATTAGTTTGTTTAATTAAATGTGAAGAAGAATTTTTTTTCTTAGTTAAGCAAATTCGATATTTACACTTCAAGAACAATTTTTTTCAGATCCAATAATATTTTTATATTGTTCATGAAAGCTAAATAAATAAACTTAATTTTAAATAAAATATTTTATATAATTTGTTTTATACACTCAACTTGAAACCTCTTTGTGTATACGTACGTGAAGGAATATCGAAGTTTCTGGCTTCATGACCAAAGATTCAAAGCAAATCCAAGAACAACAAATGGGAGTGAGAAGCATGCGAGGAAACACAAGGAACAATAGAGGGCAATATATATATATATAGTCCTTCTTTCAAGCTGGGCCAATCCCAAGTCCAATGAACCATATTGGCACAGGGCCTGGGTTCCGACAAACAAGGACATTTTAACGCTCAACAAAGAAAGCCCAGCTCACCAAACAGCCCATATTAGTACGGTTACATGCATTAAATTTTTAGGCAGCATTTGAGAATTTGGGTGCGCAACAAAAATTTGAATTTTTTTAATTAATATTTTTATTTTTTTTTAGTTTTTTTGATATACTTATGAAAAAAATAATTTTTAATATATTTTTTAAAATAATCAAAATCTAAATATCAAACGTTACTTTAAGTTTAAATGGTGTGCCATCCATCAACAAATCTAGTTAACAAATAAAAATTATAACAAATCTAGTTAACAAATAAAAATTATTTGTTTCTAATTCCATACTCATGTTTTATGTTAGGTTAATTTAAAAAAAAAACAAAAATAATATGTTTAAGCATTTACTAATATATTTTTTAGCAAAAAAAATTATGTGGAAATTAACACAATTGACTTAACGACTCATCAATGATTAAAAATGTAGTTTAATTTAAAAATAAAATTTAAGATGATATTTTTTAATATTGATAACATATTAAATTTATTCGAATTAAGTTTAATTAATTTATTAAATCTACAAGTTACAGCATGAGACCGTGATAAGCTCATAAAAAAAAGTTATAAAATCCTACAAGTTACAGCATGAGACCGTGATAAGTTCATAGAAAAAAATTATGAAATCTAATTTTTAATTAAATCAATATTAAATAATAAATTTTTTTATAAAATATTCAAATAAAAAATAACTGAAAAAAAAATCATATAAACTTAAATAAGTTTTCAAACTCATGACTCAAATTATTTGTTTTTATCTATTATTTGACTTTATTTTTTAAAAAAAATTAAAAAATTTATGCATTACTAATATATTAAAAAAACAATGATTATAAATTAAAAATTTAAAATATATTAAAAAATATTTATTTAAAAAATTGAGATAGTAATATATTGAAATAAAGACTTAATTTCTTTAGAAATGTTTTAGAATTTGTTTATTTTTTTAAAGAACCAAAAAGGGCAGGCATGAGACTAAAGGTCTATTTTTTTTAATTTAAATAACCAAAAAGGCCTTTTTTAAAATAAAAAAAGGTCATATGAGACATTAAAAAAAAAAGAGGTAGACGTCAAATCATTCCATACAGGCAAGGCCTTTATTTTAATCAAAAAAACATATTACAGGTGGACGTTGCGTAACATAGATGACATGGCCGTACACCTAGAAATCAGTGACCGCACGGTTGTTGAAATTTCGGTGCAAGGGTATTTCATAACAGAAAAATTATTTTTCAATTTCTTTTTAATTTAAAAAAATTATAAAATCTAAATAAACTCATTAATATATTAAAATAACATAAAAATAAGAAAAAACCTAAAAAATAATTCAAATTTTAAAAACTTCTCAGACTTAAATTTATATCTTAGTTAATGAAAAGACCAAGAACATCTCAATAAAATTAATAAGACTCATTGATATTAAAATAAGATTTTTTTATAATATATCAATAAATAATTATTTTATTTTATAATAATAATCTGGTGATTTTTTTTATCCTCTTTTTTAATGAGTTAGAAATAAAAAATTTGGATTAAATTTTATTTGTAAAAACTAAAGGGACCACTAGTAAACCATTTAAAAAGTAAAAGGATTAAAATGAATTTTGCATATCAATTTTAGAATTAACACTTTTTTTTCTCATTTTTTTTTTACTTCTGTTCTTTATTTTTGAATCTTATTTTTTCTTAACAAATTAGAAGTAATCTGGTATTAATTTGACCATCCTAAAAATTAAATTAAAAAAAGTTTAGAAAGAATAAAAAAATAGAATATTATTGTAATTCATAGTATTTTATGGAAGTCTCTACAGTGACATGGTATACAATACTTCTACCATACTTTTCAGTGTTTATTAAAAAAAAATCTTCCACTGGCCGTTCGGTTGCTTGTATAATATAGTACTGCTTCCTTTTTCCATTTAAAAAGTTTTCATTCGAGTCGATATATATAGATTTTTCTTTTATGGGGATGTAATGGCTTATTTTTTTTATATTTTAAAAGTATTTTTTTTAAAATTATATATATATATATATATATATATATATATATATATAATTTTAAAAAAATAAAAAATATGATTGATATGTATTTTAACAAAAAAAATTATTTAAAAAATAATTATAATTATACTCAAAATAAAATAATAATTGTTGATTCTGGATTACGTTAATTATGTTGATACCTGTTTGCATACTTCTCCCTCCCTAGTGTATAATTAATTAAGGAATTTTTATTTTTATATTTTTTTTTATTTTTACAGTTCGTGTGCTTTGCATATCATTGCATGAAGTGAACATAGGAGAAAAATCCATGTTTTACCAAACCATGAAATAATTATAAAAAATATATCTATTGAGAAAATCTCAAGATAAAAGCTAACAATATGAATATATTAAAATTTAATACATGCCCAAATAGTTGCTATATTATTATCACCACAGGAATAACTATGGATGTGTTTTAAAATATTTTTTTAAATAGGTTTTTTTTTAGAAAAAAAATAGTTTAACTGCTTTGCTATATTAAATCCTTTTTTTTTATTTTAATATACTAATATCAAAAAATTAAAAATTTTTGTTTTATATATTTGTAAATAAAAAAATATTTTAAAAAACACCTAACATCATTCAATCAAATATACCTCTAAAACACCTAACATCATTCAATCAAATATAATTAGAAATCATAGTCGCTAATCTATGGAGTCATGCTCGCTAATCCATGGCAAGGACATCTTATAATATAGAACCTAGAAGTACTATATTATACAAGCAGTGCTATATTATTTTGGTTCAAATGATTTCACGTTACCTCGAAGTCAAATGGGCATGTGTAAATCCTTAAGACTTGATTTATTATATTACTTAACATCGAACCAGAATCATTTGAACCATGATTAAAAAAACATAATATAGATGTTTGAAATGATTGATTTTTAAAATATTTTTTATTTAAAAATATATTATAATAATATTTTTTAATTTTTAAAAATTATTTTTAAAATTAGCATATTAAAATTATACTAATTAAAAACATAAAAATTTAATTTAAACTCTTAATTTTTTTTTTATGAAACATAGTTTATAATACAATTTCAAACTATATCTAGTCTACACTTAGTTTTATTTTAAACTAAATTTATTTTATTAAAAAAATTTAATTAAAAAAGTTGAGATGATTCTTCTATCCACAAATTAAACTGCTTAATTCACGAATTAATCTTAAACTAAATTAAATTTCAAATCAGTCTCATAATTTTCTAATAAATAACTCATGAATATTCTCTCAAGTTTCAAATTTTATGTGAATACATCAGTGAAGTTTAAAGACGTGGAAGGTGTTGTGCACGCAAGAGGGAAAGCCAGCAAAGAAGCAAGATGGTCAGACAAAGATAAAGTGACTTCAACTGAACAGTCATACATTGTACCATGATTGCTTCTTTGGTCTTGAGTTTTTTAAAAGATCGGTAAAGGCAGAACCAGAATTCTTTGAAACTACATATAATTCTCTCTTTGAATCTCAGCTTTTCCTTGCTCTCTCTCTTTCTCACTCTCTGTGGACAGCTGGTGATTCTCTCTTTCTAAAAGTCTTCATCTTTCTTTGTGGGTGCTATCATGGTTCTTTTTCTTTTGTTTTTGGACTTTGATGTGTTTTTGTTGATGGATTTTGGTGATTTAGTGTTTTGATTTTTTTATTTTTGTTTGCTGGGGTTTTTGTGGATGATTGAGAAGCAGCAAGCTGCTTGAGTTTTAGCTTAATCTATATGATTGTTTGGTATCCTTGACTAGTTGATATATGAAAAGTTTTTCCTTTTTTGGTTGGGCAATGTGGAGATAGAGATTTTGGGTGAGTTTTTATGGGAAAATCTGGGTTTAAAATTAAGAAAAACTGAGCTTTGATTATGATGGGATTATGTGTGTGGTGCTCATTTAGGTTGCTAGAAGCTTACAGAAAAAGAGAACTCTCACCGGTTAATTCAACTTCATATCCATTTCTGTGGTTTTCTAGCAACCAAATTTACTTCGAACCAAGTACAGGGAAGTAGATTGGATAATTATAGTACAATACTGTTTCTAACAATCAAATTTCGGATTGGCAACGAATATTTTGTTACACTTAAGGGCTTTCTTTTATTGTTTTCTGGGCAGTTTTCTTACTTTGAATGGTTCCCCAGAGTTGTAATTGTCAGATAGGTATTTTTGTAGAGCCAGATAGAGCGGAAGCTTTGTGCTCTTGGCTAATCTGACTTGAATCTGGTATATATATATATATATATATATATTTTTTTTTTTGATAATTGGTTTAGTGAAATCAGATATTGACTTAATGCAAATTTGGTAAACATTTTATTTTTGGCTTTCGAATTTAGTCACCCTCTCACCATTGGGTTGTCAACATGGTGGTACATAACATAAATTATGTTGTATTAACCAAAGTTGATGCAAAACCAACAGGAGCATGCTATTGTCCTAAATTTTCTCTGTTCTGTTGAAAGGATTCATTGTTGCAGCTTCAGAACACGGAAGTCTCTGTGGAATAACTAGAATTAACCTATCTGCAAGTTATTTAAAAATGAAAAATTAAAATAAAGGTAAAGAAGTTGTCAGGTATGGGGAATAATGGGGCATCCACTTTTGCTGATCATCGGTATGATTTTTAGAAACAACCCACTTCTTATGCAGAAAGCTCAATGGATCATAACTATCAACGCAGGCAGCATCCGACTTACATAGCTGACAATTTCAACTCATTGGATCAGGTATCATTTGTGGTTCCTTTATTGAATTGTAGAAGATGATATGTACTACTGTGTAGTGGTACTTAATTCTTTATCAACATAATGATTCTCTTTTACTTTATCTTCCAAGAAAATGAAAAGGTGCATGACTGTTTGATGGCAAGGAGTGTCCGAAGATTATATAACAGACAGCAAAATATGACTCCGTTGTTGATAATGCGTAATAGTTAGTAATCAAAATATAACTGGTTGGATAGAGAATCAAAGGAAGGACCCCTCTATCCTTCTTGATTTGTAATTTGCTACCTGTCCAATGTCAGCAGATTGGCTTCTGTCCTCTCCCTCCCTCTTAAGCCAATGGATGGGTTAATATCCCTCCCTTTTCCTCTCCGTCCTCGCTCCTCTCTGTCCTTCCTGCTTAACAGAAGGATGGTGATGATCCAAGATTATGACAAGGCAGGGAAAGGCAACAGAGGATTTAGGATGATGGAGGTTCTTGGCACTGGATTGCAAATCTGTATAGCAGAAGTATCAGATCAATTCATAGTGGTTGATTTACGAAGTTCATACTAGAAAGTTATAACAAAATTCAATGATCATAAGTATAATATGATTGGAAGAACTTCTTGAAAAATTATATAAATAACAAATCAGTAAAAAATTAAGGATAACAGATACTGAAATATGTTACAATTCGTGGGGAAATTGTTAGAGGTTCACAGTCATAACAAGAAAAACATCATAAAAAATTGCACATGGTTACGAGAATAAATCTCAAGGAAAAAAGTAGATTCTGAGTAGCATACCATTCTGCTTAATTATTACCTCTCTTGGTGAAACAAACTTATTTAAAACGACTTTGGTGTATTCTCAGGTTATTTCTGCCCTGAGAGAGGCTGGTCTTGAATCATCTAATTTAATACTTGGTATTGATTTTACCAAGAGTAATGAGTGGACAGGTGATTCTTCCTGTCCATTGAAAACTACTGAACATCCATTTTTATTTATTCTGATTAGTGGGAGAAAAAATTTCTTTTCCCCAATGATTTTAGGCAGGCATTCATTTCATCGAAAAAGCCTTCATGCAATTGGTAGCACACTGAATCCGTATGAACAAGCAATCTCTATTATTGGCCGGACTCTGTCTCCTTTTGATGAAGATAATTTGATACCTTGTTTTGGATTTGGTGATGGTTAGTCTCTCCCTCTTTATGGCTTCACTTCCTGTACACTGATGTACTACAGTTTTCTTGGATTGGTTATTGATTCTTTCTTGTTTTCTTTTGGTAGCATCAACACATGATAAGTATGTATTCAGCTTTTATCCTGATAATCGACCTTGTAATGGTCTTGAGGAAGCTCTTGCACGATACAGAGAGATTGTTCCACACTTAAAGTTGTCAGGTTCAACACAGCCCTCTTTTATTCTTGCTTATTTCAAAGCATGATTTTCATCTTTTTTCTGTCCTTTTGAACATGATATCCATTACTTTTCTAATATTATTTTTAATTCCTCACTAAGCTGCTAAGAGGAGATGAATTCTTGTGAATGAATAATAAAAGATGAATAATTCCATATTCATGAGAAGTTCATGTGTTAAATTATCAAAAGACAAGGACTGATAATAGTAATTTTGACCTACTTCTGCAGGCCCAACTTCATTTGCTGCAATTATTGATGCGGCAATTGACATTGTGGAGAAAAGTGGTCAGTACCATGTTCTTGTTATTGTTGCAGATGGACAGGTTAACTCTTGCTTTATATTCATCCCTTTCTCATCAGCTATCATAAAATGTGAACACATTTTGACTACGTTTTCTTGTTAATTGCTGCTGATACTGTTTTATTTTTTCTTTCATTGTTTAGGTTACCAGGACTCCTGATACTCCTCCTGGACGGTTGAGTCCTCAAGAACAAGCAACAGTAAACTCCATAGTTGCTGCTAGGTAAATTAATGGTGTATGTAACATTTTTCAATGTTGTGTTTTCTATCACTGTATTGACGCTTGTTAATTTTATAAACAGCAAGCATCCTCTCTCAATTATTTTTGTTGGAGTTGGGGATGGACCATGGGATGCAATGCAACAATTCGATGATAACATTCCTCAGCGTGAATTTGACAACTTTCAGGTATATTTGATGTGTGTGCGTGCAGCTTTATGTGGCACAAAGTCAGAAGAGATTAAGATTTGAAACCTCATCTTTTCACAAACTAATCTCAGGGTATCTTTAGGATTGAGTTTTCAAAACAAGTGTCATGGAATTTCAAAACCATGGTTTAAAAAAGATACATGACACCTACTTTGAATTCCAAACTTGCTTTTCTCTTGAAACCTGCTTTGTTTCAAGCCCTCAAACCCAAACACTCTTGTTCATGTGACTGAAATGAGATTTTTATTTCAGTTATATCACTTGCACAAATGCATGTAGGCTTTGGTGATCCAATTTAATTATTGTCATATTGACTAGTATAATGCCAGCAAAGAATTCGGACCAGCTGAGTTAAACACGTGTTCTGATACCTTTTCTTTTATCATCATGCAGTTTGTGAACTTCACTAAAATAATGTTAGACAACACCGAAGCATCAAAGAAGGAAACAGCCTTTGCACTTGCTGCCCTCATGGAAATTCCACTTCAGTACAGAGCCGCTCAAAGACTTCAGCATAAAGAGTAAGACAGCAGGTTCATTTTCTAGTTAATATCTGATATCAGACCAGGGAGTTCCAGTCTTCAAACAGTTTTACTCTTGCAGTCATGATTTAGTTGGTGGTCCACGCACAAGGCCACTCCCACCTCCTCGTGAAGTGATTGATCATGATAATGCTGTCAAATCAATTCCACACATTACAAACTTTGAAACAGTTCAACCATCTACTTCAGTCGAACCGGTATTTTCCCTCTCAATTTCTCCTCCTTTGGATTCCTATTTGTATCAGGATTTTGTTTTAACATGCATGTCATGTTGTTCCAGGTCTGCCCTATTTGCTTGACTAACCCAAAAGACATGGCTTTTGGATGCGGTCATCTGGTTAGTGCATTTCCCCTGACAATTACACAACATTAGCTTCAGACTTTTTATTTTTTGTGTGTTTATGTTTCTCCTTTTTTCTGCAATGAAGACTTGCAGGGATTGTGGAGCAAGCCTTTCAACTTGCCCTATATGTCGGCAGCCCATAACAACACGCCTGAAACTGTTTACCTGAACCAAATAATACCTCCTGCACGTTGTTTGCTTGCTTTGGAGAGAACTGCGAAGCTCGATCCACAGGGAGGAATTATTAGTGAAACGGCATTTTGTGTGTAAATTGTTATTCAAAATGGCCCTTGACATAAAAACTGGTGCTAAGTTATACGCTAGTGGGATCTTTTTTATTGTTTTTTTAACAGCATTTCTCTTGATCAATTCGTTATGATACATGCGTAGCATCTCCTCAAATTTCATCAATTTTTTTCATCATGGGTAACCTGTTCGTTCAGCAGTGGCTTTGGATTGGACTTGAATTTGAAAGGCTAAAAATGCTAGAGGCCTTCTAGATAATGCGTCTAATGCCAATAAAATAAGTCCACTGCATGTCCTTCCCTCGTGCACCAATAATCACTACCGCAGCCACTACATTTATCATAACTATATAGCATTCCTGATGTAACTGCAGCAGCTGTATGTTTCTTTTCTTTTTCTTCTTTTTTTTTTTATTCACTTCTTTTTTTATTCACATGGAGTACATGGAGGCGTTACTACCAGCTTGCATGTATCTTTACTGATTTTCATGAAGAGGATTAGCTTATATATATTTTAACTTTTTACCAAAACCAAGTTGGGTCCGAGATTTTTTACTTTCTTTTTTATTTAGCAAGCAATATGTCAAGTACAATAACAACAAGTAATATGAAACTTGCTAGGTTTCTACTAAAAATTTAACAACTACTATGGTAGTTGAAAAATTAGGAGGGGGTTACCCTAAAAACCCATTTTGCTACTAATTTTCACCCAAAAACTCTTCAAAAGAACCATGAAAATTGATATAAACCATATCACCCCAAAATCACTCAAAAATATGAAAATCAACCAAATCATAAAAATCAAAACCAAATTGGATCTATTTTTTTCAATATTTTTCAAAGAAAAACATTTATTGAACTTCTCTCGAGAAGAGGAATCCATTAACGCAAAGATTCTTTTTTATTTTTGTGTGGTTAAAATATGATTAAACGACAACTTTATTATTTTTTAGTGAGTTTTTATTTTCTTTCTTTAACTTAAGAATTGAAAAATAAACAAAATAAAACTTTGGACCGAAATAAAAATTCTAAGAACTTGAGATTGACCATGCAATTTTTTGTGTGTTTTACATTGTTATTCTCTTACTTTAAATTTTATCTTTTTAATTAATTGAAAACTTTATTTCTTGAAATTAAGTCTAGAAAGAAAAATTAAAAAAAAAGATGAAAATAAAAAAAGGAGGTGCATTACTTTAGAGAAACACCATATATCAAATATTTCTATTTCTTTAGTTGTTTTATTAATAATAACATGTTTAAATATTATCAATTCATACTCAATCCATTAGAGATTCTTCCTAATTAATTGAGATCATTATCATTCATGATCAAGTAACAGATATTGGTTGGTAAAAGCTATTCAATCACCGATTAATCGTTAGACTACCAATTTCTTTCAAATCCCATCCCTAAATTCTGTCGCACAAATTCGAGAGACTAAAATCTTGGGGGTATCAAAATGCTTCCCGGAGAAACGTAAAGAAAAGAATCAACTCACAAACTTTAGAAAGCGAAGCAATCAATAAATGGCAGTAAAAAGTCAAAGTGGATCATAATCAAGTAGGAAATATGTACAAAACAATCCATATAGCATATCAAATATCTACGTAGTACAATATAAGAATAATCACATGAGGGGGGAAAAAAAAACAATAGACACCCCTTTTCTTCCCATCATTAAAAAGCGTAAGCCTTTTTCTCCGATGACGAGGAGCTTGATGAATAGAATTGGAGTGCTTCCACTATAATCTTCCTCTTGATTGGCCATCGTGGCAGTGGAAGGCCAGCAAAGGATGTGGAGGGGCAGCCATGGCCCTTGTTGGATGCTTGCTTGTTTGGATCACTCATTTCCTTTGTCTCTTAGTTGTGTTCTTCTGCAAGAAGGAGTAGGTCTTGATATATACAATTGCGAAGTTAAGAGGGATTTATAAATATTAAAGAAATGGTTGGCTCTGTAAAGTGGGGAAGAGTTCTGTTTAAGAAATATAAGAACACGCAAGTTGTCGACTTGCTTCCAGATAGAATACAGCTTGTGCCTTGTAGCCTTAGAAAACCTTGTGAATTCTTTTCAAAATCGGAGACACTGATCTTGAATTTATGAATAGGGATACTTCCAAAATCATAAAGAGTAAAGAAAGTGAGTTAGATGTAAAAAGAAAATGAAGTATTTATATGGTTGTGTGAGAAGGTGTGGTTGAAATTGTAATTTATGACAACCATAATTTTAAAATTGTCTGATTAATTAATATATAATAATTTTATATGAGTCCCACTGAAAATTCTTTTTTAAAATCTTTGTTATGAAAAAAACTATGATTTATAGTTTCTTTTTTTTTTGAAATCATAACCGTAAAAGTTACTATAATATCAAACATATACAAAAAAAATAAAACTCAAAGAAAAAAAATAATTTGAAAAAAAAAAGCAATAAAGCGATTTAGACAAAAAAAAATTGTCAATAACCTCAGTTTTTTTCCATGAAAAAAATATTAATGATTTTAGAATTAAAATCATATCTAATTGGATATAGTACTACTGAATTACATCATTAATTAAATATTTATGAATTTCAGCATGAGGAATTCATTTACAATTATACAGAATAAAATAATTTGCCATACGCGTGCATGTTTTTCTAAGAACAAGGCGGCACGGCATCGGCATCCTTCAGCATATATTCCTTTCATAGAAGTCAATGATAGTCAACTGTCACACAAAGTCCATCTTTTTGCTCGGAGCGTGGAATAAATCCAATTATTGCCCTCACCTTTTGTTTCCTTAGTTTAAGAATATTTAAAATCTTAGGGTCGGCCTGCAACACAAATTTTGTTCAAATTCTATGTTTATAAATAATTTTAATTTTTAATTCAATTGTTGTACTAGACAAAAATTTTATCAGAACATTTTATAAACCTAGTTTTCTATACTCGATTAGATCTAAAAGATACCATTTTTTTTTTATTTTCAAGTTTTTTTTATTTCTTTTTTAGTTTGGTTTCAATTTAATTCCGTCTAAGTTTTATTAAATAGTTTGGTTTTAGCTCTTATTTAAACATATTTTAATGTTATTTCTTATTAGATTAAAAATTTAGGATTGTTAACTTTTATAATTATTCAAATCATAGTTTTCTATACCATTATGAACAAATCAGAGTTGGAAAAACCTGATTTTTTTTTTCAAGATATTTTTGTTAACAGAGCAAAACATAAAAAAGGCAACCCATTGTTTTACAAAATCAAATATAAGAGCTGTTGGATGGTGGAAAATTGCAGGACGAGAGAGATGTACTATTTAAAAACCGATAAAAGAAAACTTTATAAATAAATAATGTATAAAAGATGGTATGGGAATATTCTTATATATAAAACCGAAAAAATTAGCAACATTCATGATTGAGTTGATAATGATATCACCATAACTAGTTGGGTTACTCGTGTTCTGCTATGAGATGAAGCAATTCTTTTTCTCAACATAAAAAAAAAAGTGCAGGCATTGTTAATATTGTATTTACCATTAAAAAATTTTTAATTACAAACTAAAATGTTTGTATACCTGTTAAATAAGACAAATTAAGAATTACATATTTTGATAAATGATAATTTGACTCAAATCAAATATTAAGTTAGAAAGTTAAGATAAAGATGCATATTAAGCTATTTGATCTTTTGTTAGAGCATCTCCAATGGAGAAGCCAAATGGATAGCCAAAAATAAAAAATTAATATTTTGGTTTTTCTTTATTTGTTTTGCACACTCTAAGGGGAAGCCAAACAAAATGCTAAAATGTCTTTTCTCTCCCACAAATGCTATTTCTACATATCTCTTTAAAGAGCCAAAACCAACAAAGTGGGACCATTAAAAAAATAGACCAATTAAATGTAGACATGTG